GAAAGTCCTGACTCCTTGTGCTTCTCCATATGTTAAAACTGCTCTTGCTCCAAGTTCAATCTTCCTTAAACAATACAGCAGCTAAAAGAAAGCTTTAGCATCTGAGAGCTGAAGTGCTTAAGTATGGAAGTTTGCTTATTTTTAAAAAAAGTAAATTACAAGGTGTTATGAAGAAAATTTATTTGGTCAATGAAAGGAAACTAAAACAAAACACATTTTGCTTCTCCATATGTTAAAACTGCTCTTGCTCCAAGTTCAATCTTCCTTAAACAATACAGCAGCTAAAAGAAAGCTTTAGCATCTGAGAGCTGAAGTGCTTAAGTATGGAAGTTTGCTTATTTTTAAAAAAAGTAAATTACAAGGTGTTATGAAGAAAATTTATTTGGTCAATGAAAGGAAACTAAAACAAAACACATTTGCTGACAAAACTCACCAAAACCAAGGGTGAAGACAAATGTAGGACTGTTAATAATCCTTTTCCCTCTCCTGCTTCACTTATGTTTTTCATATTAATCACACCAGCGATAAGTCTTGGAGACTGGGGGCTTTTAATTTCAGTGTTCAATTTAACTTCATCTAAAGTGAAGGAGGTGGAACTAAAATGAAAATGCTGCTTTGAAAAAACACAGTAACTACTAGTAAGAACAAGATATTCCAAAGTGCACTGTAGATTTACTTTGTGGCAGCTAGCTGCTGCAGAGGGCACAGCAGCTGCTGGTGTGTATTATAAACTACACATGCTATAGGGATACAATGGTCACAGTGGGCATGAACTGAAGCTGGAATTTTAGTTTTGACCTCGCTATGTTGCTAGAAGACAGATGAATGTGCATGAAATATGCAGGTGAGCATTGGAAAGCTGCACCTAAGACAGACATAGCCCTCAGGGCTACCTGGCTTCCACACCTCCATATACATCTTTCAGATGCACCCTCAGTTTATCAAACTAATATGCCTTCTTTAAACCTTCAAATCCATTAGATGCTTTTTATTAGAATGATGGAAATCACTGTAGTCACTGGATTCCAAGAATGCTGTGTCCTCTTAAGTTTCTCTTCTGCTAAACAGATCTCTAACAACAGACAGGGCCACATCAGGCTTCTCCACCATCCCCTTCATTAAAACATTGCTCTATATGATGTTGCTTTAGAGTCAAACTCCTGCCAGGCAAGTATCAGTCTGGAAGAAAAACTTCCTGCTTTATTATAAACCTTTGAAAAAGAACTCAAATGTCTGGGATACAGTAATTTGATAAGTTGTGTCTTGGCCAGTGGGCACCCGGTTCTCAAAAAAATCCAAGATTAGCAGACATAACACTTCCAGCTGTACTGTGTGAAACAGGATCCAAATGCTATTATGTTAAATAAGACTAAAATGTGGGATCACTCAAATTTCTACAGAGGAAGAGCAGACAATTCCTATAGTCTTTTTCACATCACTTTAAATTTTTCCCAGTTCACTGAATATAGACATTATTAGATTTCTTGAAAGAAAGGTCAAGGTGAGTGGGTATCAAATGAGTGAAACTATGACTTTAGACAGGTTCGATATTCCTGTCCCTTCTATTACTACTTGACAACTATATGTAGGTTGAGTGGATTGTGAGTGAAGCTGACAGTGTAAAATAAACAAAAGCCAAAGAAACACAGGCTGTTCCTGCCAGACTCTGCCCCAAAGCCTAACCAAAACCAAAATTTGCAGTTTGTTCACAACCTGACTGAGGCACCTGTTCCTACAGTTCTGTGTCAGGTCAGAGCACAGTGCAGGTACTCAGAGCTTAAGGGGAATAATGGGCCAGTATTTGGGCTGCTTTTTGTCACAGTTCCTATCAAAGATAAGCTGCATGGCAGCCTCCATTGCCTGGATTTTTGCAGCCTCAGCACCATACAGTTTCTTCATTTCTGCCATTCTCCTCTCCCCAGGCCTTTCTGCAGGTGGCTCCACGGAACGCTCCGTCCATCTGTGGAGGTCTTGATCAGCCTCCACGTACTGCTGCTCGGCTTCCAGCTGCTGCTGCCTCCCTAGGCAAATAAACCACAAGAGATGTAAATTACTGAGCTATCAACAATCACATTTTGTTTCAACTTTTAAAAAAAATATTACATATTCATACTTATGCTGGGTCTAGAAGGCCAAAGTCCACACATTTTAGGGTGCAGCCAACTTCTGCAACTTACAAAACAAATTGCATTCTACTTGTCCTGCTGTGCTCATTATGCATAAAGATACATTCCTACCAAATACCATGACAAAGTCAGGCTGAGGGATGCGGGAAAAAAGGAAGAAGATTCTGGGACTGAATCCTTAAACTGTAGAAAACCTCTGTATTTGTGTGCTGGACAATTAATAATCAATAATAAGCAAAAATCAGCATTGCTTCATTTCTCCCAAACATACACATACTTTGAAAAAAACCCCAATGAAATATAACTATCCACCAACCCCAAAAACAACCCCACCAAAAAACCCAAGCAAGCAAGAGAGTTGTTTCCAATAAAATGACTTAGCAGCTGAGATAAGAAAACAATGCACAGAGAAATGCAATTTTAGCCGAACCAGAGCCAAGAGAAAATGTAGTCAGTTACTACTCTATGAAAATGAACAAACCAGTCTGTCATGTCTGCCATTAAGTGCATCCAATGAAACACAGCTGTAAGCATTGTGTTTAGATAAACTAGCCAACCTCATCCATTTCTCAAGACTTGCAAAGTTCAAAACTGCTTACTTAGCCTTACTGCTATTGCTTTGAACACAAACCAAAACAGCACCCAACATAAACACATGCACCAGGTCTGTTAAAGAGAATTCAAAACAATTCAGAGAGCCAAAACATTTGGACCAATCTGTCAACAAAAACTCTCTTCGGTAAGCCCAAGTGGATTCTGCATGCTCAAACGTACCTCTACTTTCTGGGTGCTGCTCTAACGAAGCAAATAATGCTCTGTGCAGTTAAAACAGCAAAGTGCTACACAAAACTCCCCTCTTATGGGGACATTTCTACAAGATGCAGAAAATCACCTGGCAGCTGAACTCCTTTGCCTGCCAATAACAAATGACAGTCCTCAAAACCACATCACAGGTACAGCTCACTACTAATGACAGCAGCCAGGTTTTTAAACATCAAAAAGGACAGTGTCCACAGGCTAGGATGCATTAGTCATACACAGGACATGCATCTCAGTATTTGGTGCCATGTACCTCTTCCCTTTTTCCCCCCTAAGGCAGAGATTTAGCTTTCACAACTCATATGACATCTGCAAACCCTAACCCAAAGTATCCTGATATATCTGTGTCAAACATCTGCAGTTTATTTTTATACTGGAAAGTACAATACAGAGCAGCCAACTGACTGTCTGTCAGCCTTCCTAAATGAATTATCCCCTGTACCTCATTCACAGAAAATAGATGTTTTAAATGGTATAATCAGAAACTTCAGTTCTGGCATCTGTTTGTCTGACACAGAAAGCTTTTGTCCTGTCATTTGAAACACCATTCAGTTTTGTGTTGGTAGTCGAAGAGCAGGAGAGCTTGAGGAGTTATTAGCAATCTGTTCCAGAGAGCTGTTTCTGTGATTTTGCTTTAAAGGCACACCCCTGAATTGGGCTGCACTGCCAGAACTCACGAGGAAACATACATTAGAGTCCATATGTGTTTTTGGAAGAGTCAGATTTATTTGGTGTCAGGCCATTTTAACCAGAAGGTCTGAATTAAGGGAACTAACACTGCTCAGCACTGTGAAGACAAGGTATAGCACTGAGGCTGTGACTACACAGGCCACCTGCATCCCACTGAAACAAACTTCCTGGGACACCACACTGCACACAGCTACGTAACATGCTTCTAAGCATGAACTTGATGCTAATAACACTGAATAGTGTTAGACAGAAAAAAAAAAATCTATGCTGGAAAACCAATGTTTCCCACTGTAGGCTGCACAGCAAAACTCTGGTAAGGCAACTAACTGAACCCATATTTACTAACTCTCTTGGGCCGCAAAGATAATTCCTTGTACTTCTGTACTGCCCATGGAAATTTTTCATTCATTAGTTCCATAGCTGCATGCTAGAGACAGCTGCTTCCTCGCCTGCTTGCCACAGAAAGCTCTCTGATAGCTCATTGGACATGCTAACGCTTAAGAAAAATGAATTTCTCTGGAGATAGATAATGAATTCTTCTGTTTGGAAATTAAATCGGTCTCTAGCAGAAGCTTTATGATGGATGTGTGGATTACAGTTTAGTGTGCATCAATCTCCATTTCGTAGTACCGAAGAGTTTGTAAATCTGCAGATCCCAATGTCAACAATCAAAATACCAATTTAAGTTCCATTCTCAGAACTACCTGATGAACGTCTGGAGTATGTGTTTTACTTTAGATGTAAAGTACTTTCAGATGTACTACCCTTAACTTTCTAACCTGACTTCTGCTATTCCATAGCTACTGGCTTAAAAATTCCCAGAGTGATTGTATTACAGAGTCTCAGACACATAAATCAGGTCTACAGAGTCCAGGCAGAGGCTGGGGACAGAAATCTGCTACAGGGACACACATTTTTTTGCACCAAAGGCTTAACTGAGCACAGAACATGGCAGCTGTTGCTGGTAATAACACTGCAGCTGTGTGGAATACACTGCACTTTCAAATCAGTTATTAGTGGAGAGATACTGCTGTGATAAACTCCACAGCCACAGAATCACAGAATGGGCTGGATTCGAAGGGACCTTAAAGATCATCTAGTTCCAACCATCCTGCCATGGGCAGGGACACCTTCCACTAGACCAGGCTGCACAGAGCCCCATCCAACCTGGCCTTGAACACTGACAGGGACGGGGAGTTCAAAACTTCTCTGGGCAACCTGTTCCAGTGCCTCACCATCCTCACAGCTGGCAGCACTATTTGCTATCATGGACAATCAAAGAAAGAAGTCATGAAATGGGTATGTAAACTACTGCTCTTCCAAAAGCAGCGTTTCCAGTCAAACATAGACATAAGGAATAGGTGAGATTGGAGAAAGTATTGTCCTCTTGAGATGCACACTAACCTGTCTTTGGTGGGGCAGGGGTTGGGAAGTAGAACTGCTCTAAATTCCAGCAGTCTAGATCCTTCCCATTACCTCAGAGTATACTTTAAAAACAATACAAAACAAGCAACTTGAGTAACCACCTCATCATCAAAAAGACAACAAGCACCTGACAACGGAAAAAACAAACACAATTATAAAGTGCCTATAGCCCTGAGCTCACAGAGGCAACCAGAATTTCTCTGAAGCAACCACCAAATATTCATCCATGAAATGGGTAGCAAGGATTATGAAAACACTAATTCTCAGCCTGCAGCAATGAAGTCCCCAGCTCATTCTCAAATTAGTTTCACACTCCAAATTCACAAGTCATTGTGCTGCCAAGTTATAAATGTGAAACAAGTAATTTTTACAAAATTCTAAGTAGTTTCTTCTTCCACTTCACACAGACTAAAATAAACATCCCTTCTTTTACAGCATTCAGCTTCCACTATTAGCAAGCTTCCCCCAATAATGGAACAGTATTTTGCAAATATTCACAAGGCAGGCAAGGCGACTGCAATGGTGGTTGGTTCCTGTACAAAGGAAAAGCATTGCTGCCACTTTCCCAAATGGTCAGTTTCATTTCTTTTAAAAAATGCTCTTTCTCCCTATTTAAAGCCCTTCTCAGAACTAACTTATTCCTACCAAGTCTAGCTGTGCTGGGAAGTCATCATTACCTGGCCAAACCCAGTTGGGACATCTTTTTCCAAACACAGTAAATAGAATTTTTTAACCATGATGGAAAAAAATTGAGACCTCTACGTAACTCATACTACATCCTGGGACATCATCAGTGATTCCAGACCTTTATGAAGACAGTTTTGAGTTATTGTTTCCCTCTCCACCACTTTTCTCACTTTTTATGGATGACTTTTCATCTGGCATGTACTCGTTGAAAAGGAAAGTGAACAAATACAGAAAATTACCTCCATCCTCAGGGACTGCCAAAAGCAGGATAAACAGTAACTAGTATATTAGCTATTCACTGCATTTGGGGCTTCAAATGCACACAAATGACCTCTTGCATACTTTCAGCAAAACTATGACCTAAGCCCCTCAAGACATAAGCGATTTTCCCCATAAGCCCTCAGAAACTCAGACGCCTTGTTTCTCTTCTTTTATAAAATGGAAAATGTCACACACTTTCCCTAAGTTTGATCCACTTTACATGTCTTTCTTTGATATATCATTTGAGAAGCTTAAGTACTAATTAAAAAAAAATTCCCTCTCTGGAATTTATCCTTTCCTTATTAAAAGAAAAAAAAAACCCACAAAACAAAACAAGGAAAAAACCAACCTCAAAAACAAAACCCAAATAAATTCCCTTATTTAGAAAGACATCTCCATGGAGAGACTTTGTAACATTAAAAGGAGATAGAAGCAGGGAGGGTAATTATCAATGTCGGACTATTAATGAAAGATTCACACACACCATTGCATAGTTTCTCTTCCCATTTTTAGCTCTCAATATTTATACATCCAACCCTTAGCTCACTGTAGCCAGTGATCATATGCAATCTGACAGCCAGCCTTCTCCACAGGGCTCTAGGTGCTAACACTGTAGTCTGCCACGCTCTGCCCCATACAAGGGTAGTTAAAGCAAGAGACTAAGGGCTGCTTCTCCTGAGTGTCAAATGCCCTTACTCAATTTCAATTTCTTGCTTAGTTAGCACATTATTCTTCAAGGAAATATTGCACTTTCCCCAGTCTTGATCTGTTTTTTCTTTTCCATGATTTCAGACTGACCTATACCCCCATTCACATATTTGTTGGCTTATTTCAAATGATGAATGATTTTCTGTTACTGCTGCATGTGCACTTTCTGAGCTTTTTCATCTTGTCTTAAATGCTACCTGAGCTGATCTTGAGCAGCCCACACTAACAGAGTTAAAAACACTACCCATCTCTACTGATTAAAAACTCCTAGTTCCCTCTTTGAATGCCACTTCCCACAAGCCTAT